TGATAATTGTTTTCGCTATTGTCTTGCCTGATTTGGAGCCATTTTCTGGCAACTATCTTTGACTAGTTTGGATCTGTTTTCTGCAATTTTCTTTGCTAGATTTGGAGCTTTTCTCTGATAGTTTTTATTAATCAGCTTTTAAAATTTCTTAGTTTTACCAGATTTGAAGCAATTTTCTGTTAATGTTTTTGCCGGGTTTGGGCTTTCTCTGGTAATTTCTTTGCCAGATTTGGAGCAGTTCTATGGTAATTTTTTTTGCTAGGTTTGGATTTATTTTTTTTCTTCACTAAATTTGAAGCAATTCTCTATGCCAGGTTTAGAGCAATTTTCTGGTAATTTTTTCATCAGGTTTGAAGCAATTTTTCTTTGCCAGATTTGAAGCAATTTTCTAATAAATTTTTACTAGGTTTGGAGCTTTTCTGGTAATTTCTTTGCTAGATATGAAGCTGCTCTCTGTAGGTTTCTTAGAAATTTTGAATCTGTTTTCTGGTAATTTTCTTTGCCGGGTTTGGAGCTGTTCTCTGGTAGTTTTTATTAAGAAACCTACTCTAATTTATTTAGCTAATAAATTTTTATTAGCTTTGCCAGATTTGGAGCTTTCTCTAGTAATTTTCTTTGGAGAGTTGGGAGCTACTCTCTTTGGTAATTTTTTTGCCATGGTTGAATTTATTTTTTTCATTGCCAGATTTGGAGCAATTCTGGTAATTTTTTTGCTGGGTTTGGAGCAATTTTCTTTCCGGATTTGAAGCAGTTCTCTGGTAATTTTTTTGCCAGATTTGGAGTAATTTTTTGTTAATTTTTTTGCCAACTTTGAAGCAATTTTCTTTGGTAGGTTTGGAGCAATTTTTTTTCGCTGAATTTGGAGCAATTCTCTTGTAATTTTTTGTCAGATTTGGAACAATTTTTATTTGCCAGATTTGGAGCAATTCTCTTGTAACTTTTCATCAGGTCTGGAGCAATTTTTATTTGCTGGATTTGGAGCAATTCTCTGGTAATTTTTTGCCAGATTTGGAGCAATTTTTCTTTGCTAGATTTGGAGCAATTCTCTGAAAATTTTTTGCTGGGTTTGGAGTTTTTCTAGTAATTTCTTTGCTAGATATAGAGCTGCTCTTTGGTAGGTTTCTTAGAAATTTTGAATCTGTTCTCTGGTAATTTTCTTCATCAGGTTTGGAGCTATTCTCTGATAGTTTCTATTAAGAAACCTACTTTAACTTATTTAGCTAATAAATTTTTATTAGCTTCGTTAAATTTGGAGCTTTCTTTAGTAATTTCCTTTAGAGAGCTAGAAGCTGCTCTCTGATAATTGTTTTCGCTATTGTCTTGCCTGATTTGGAGCCATTTTCTGGCAACTATCTTTGACTAGTTTGGATCTGT